CAAGTCGTGGATGGCTTGCTTTGAAATCCTGGATAATTTACCAGGGGCAGACAGTTACCACGCGTTTACCAGTTTACCACGCCCGAGGTACTGTCCACGGCTGAGGTAAAGCATAGCATAATACTACACATGCGCCCCCGTTGCTGTGTGAAAGTGGTCTTGTGAATGAACGAAATCAGGTTTGGGTCTTGAGCGCGGGTTCTACAATATCAGTTTAGAACGACATGAGAAACTGTGAGCAAGGTTCTATCCTTTCCCATAGTTTGCAGCTGCTGAGCGCCCAGCCACGCCGCTCCAGAATGCCTGCTCGTGTGACTAGGAGTCGCAAACTACGCCGACCAGTGGCCTGAGGCTGCTACTGCCGGGTCGTAAACACAATTAAATTACTTCGGACAAAGGGTCCCACTCCGCCAAGCAACTCACATACGCTAGTAAAGCTGTGGTTTCCAAAGATCCTAGAAAGTGCGCTCCGTACTGCCCGTGGGGCGCCACAGTGCGCTCCGTACTGCCTGTGGAGCGCCACTTGGTTCCTATACGGTTTCTCCTCACTTACTCGCTTCGTAAATCGGTTTCTCTTCCTTCCTAAAACTACGGCTTTTATAGGGAAATCGAGCAGAGCGTTTTGGGTTCGCTCGGTCCTAAACCACGCAAACATCCTGTCAGCTGGCTGACGTTGACGAAAATTGCTGGTTGACGCACCGCCCAAGGTCACGCTTGACAGCCTTTTTGACTCAGCGGAGCACGCAAATCACTTAATAGCTTTCATTACGTCACAAGTGACCACCCATCGCGAAAGAATGCATGATTCATCGATAGACAAGACCTATTCGTGTGAAGCTTCAGCGATCCTTTACAATGCATGGAATATGCTCTGGTGTCTGCATAGCGCGGCATAGCAGTGCAGCTGTTTCTCATCTGCGCTGCCTCTGTTTTATTTGCTTTTATTTCCTCAACTGCAAGCTTTCAAACAGGCATCTGCCAATGTGGCCAGCCCAATACGGGCGTCGGCCTGCTTTGGTGCTGACACTTTGCCCTTCACACAGGTTTACAGACGATTTCCCAATGATCGATCGGCGTGTGCTGAACGTCCCAGCACCTGCCGGCGATGTTGCTGGTGACTTGTCACAGGTGCGTAGGCAGGATTTCGCAGTAGAGAGGGCCTACTTTTGTGCCAAAAACTTTAAACACGGAAGTTCTTACACTTGGTACGATTATGTTGAATATATGTGTTGTTTTCAATGCATGTATTTTGACATGTCCGCCACAATGAGTTAATGGCAACAATTACTCAAATGCATATGAATAATTGTTTCAATCTGATGACGGGAAGTGGCCCCGGTTTCCCCCCTCCCTGACTGCACTCCTCAGCTGTTTTCTCTGGCTACGACTGGACCGGAATCGCATTTAGCATGCGGCAAGCTCATGCTCCATGTCCGCGGGATGTAGGAAATACAGGCGGGCATTGGGCGCACGTCCTGCGCGTTTCGATCCAGCGCCTTAAAGGCATTTCTCAAGCAGGAGAACAGGTGAGATGGTTGACCTTACATCCTGGACGTGAGATACAACTTAACAGGGGCAGTCGACAAGAATGAAACGGCTCCTGACCTCACTGGGCATGAATCAGACCCATGTCGCTCGTGCGCCCAACGTCCGCCATCGCCTCATGTTCAGGTGCTATCCAACATACGCGAAATCGTGGCATACTCACTGAAATTAGTGAATATGCCACGATTTCGCATTTAAGATGTTGCTTTCGGTTCCGGGTGTGCAGTAACGGGCGGATAGGCATATGGTGTGAACGAACGTACTGTACCGTTAACCATAGAAACACGTTGATAAATAACCCGATAAGCAGCCATTTGTAAGCAGTCCCCACTAACATCAAAAGCGAGCCACGGGCCCCGGGCCCAATCCCACGCCCGAGGCTGGTTGCCCGTCGGCCGGCGGCACCAGCGGCCGTCTAGCCGCACGCGGCGCCGGCCATACTAAGTGGGGCCGCGCCACGGGCGCCGCGCTCACATTCACACGGCGCACTCGCCGCCGCCGCGTCGGAGCGAACTTTCTCCCGCCGCCGCGGCCGGCCGAAGCGACGGGCCCCGGGGGACGTGTGGGCACGTCCCGCCGACTGCCGAAGGGACCGACCGGACGCGGCCGGGCCCGGGGGACGTGTGGGCACGTCCCGCCCGCCGGCCTGCCGAAGGGGCCGACGCGGCGGCCCGAGGGGCACGTATAGGCACGTTCCGGGCGCCTGCCGGAGGGGGGGGTGCCGACGACGGCCGCCGCCCAGGCGCCGCACGTGAGGGGCCGGATCGAATGGGGGCGGCCTGCGGTGTCCGTGGTTCGGGAGCCCGCGGCCTGCGCCGCTGGTCGGCCGCGCGGTGGTCGGTGGCCTCCCTCCTCTCCCCCCTCCGGTGGGTGGGTCGTGGTGCCGTTTCCCGCGAGCGGGTCAAGGTTGGGCCCGAGCCTGCCAGATGAATGGTCACTCGATATGGGGTTGCCGGAAAACCGGCGCTGGTGCGTTTGTACGATGGGGGCGGGCCGTGCGACGACGCGAACGCGCTGCCGGGCCTCGAGACGGGGTGGCCGCTGAATGCTCTTCAAGGCCGGAACTGCAGATGCAGTCGGACTTTCCTCGTATTGTATCTATCTGCCAGAGCACGACTGGTGCGTCTGGTGGTTGACAAGCTGCTTAGAGGCTCGCCAGCGAAAGCCGTTTGATATTGCCAGATACGCTAATCGCACCTCGTCTTGCCACGCACGACACGCGCGCGTCAGAAGTTGGCGACTTTTTGTGGTCTGTGCATCTGTGGTTCGCTGTATCAGCCACATACCAACATGCAGAAATGCGCTACAGAAATCACAACCACCCAGCCAACGCCAAGTAGAAACATCTGTGGAGCCTTTTAAATCACTTCTGCTGCAGATAGAACAATCACTGCTTATCAAAAATACAAATGGTGTGCTCACGCTATTTTCGGTCAGCTGTTGTTTGAGTCGTCACGCAGAGACAGAGGAGGTTGTTGATTTCATTTTCCTCAGCATCTCAGGTCTGTGTGCACTCGGCTTTGATGTGAGTTTTGAGTGTTACGGATTGACGGCCGGACGGCCGTGGCGCCGCGATTCCTCGCTTTAAAGCGCGCCCCGGCCGGCCACCAGACTTTGGCACTTACGCTTCCAACTTCGTTTTGAGAGATTGCTGTCGTGGTCGCAATTCGACATTCTGGTTTTGTGTAAGCATCTGTATTCGTGTGTGAAGGCATTTCACCTGCGTGTGTTTCCTCTTCCATGTGCCGTAGGTCGATCTGACTGCAGCGAGTACCGGGTTTGCAGCTTCTGAGCCATGGTCAGGATGTGAGCTACATCTCGATATCCTCACGAGATACGGCATTGAAACCTGTTGCCACAATGCGGAAGCCGGACTCATCCATGTGTGATGGGGCCAGTTCACCGTTGCTCTTCCCATAAGACTGCCAGTCACCGACCGTTAAGTTGTGAGATTTCGCCTGGAATGCACGCCTTCGATGCCTGAGCCGAGCAGCAGTGGGGTGGGGAACGCATGCGATCATGCAACCGAAGCGCTTGTCGCCCACTACCCTAAAATGCGCATTTTCCTCCGAATATTTGATCCACAAACGCAGGAAGCTCGTGCGATTTTGACGCATTTCATGAATTCAAACAAATTTATATCCTAGTCAGTTTTGTGTGCGAGAATTATCCAGCTGTACGTATTATGTTGTAAATTTAAGCCAAAAATTATTTCAACGTCACCACTTTTCTCAACTTTTGCCGTGAAAAAACAACCCAACTCGGAGGTTTCAGGTGCGCTGAAATAAGCTGCATTTTAAAGATAAAATGCATGGAATTCATCCACCATGTTCTTTATTACAAAAATCAGACTGTCCGTCCAACCAGCTTCCCAAGAGTATGAGTTGAATTGAATTGAATACACGGACAACGAATGGATTAGGAGCAACTTATCAGGTTGGCCCAACTAGTTCACAGGAGATCGTACGCTGTAATAGCACGGCGCCGTTGCTGGCGCCCATGCTTGAGCCAAACGTGTGAATACCTTGTTTTTTATCATCGGGAACGGCAAATACCTTGCAGGTGTTTTTGGAAAATGACCCCGAAAGAGATTGAAAGTGGCCATACAATATGCACGAGGTATAATGTACGAGGTTAACTTCACGTCGTTGACGGCTGTTGCACGGGGATCGGTCCGGAAAGCTGTTCCCGTAAGACCTGATGTTTTTTTTTTCTCCTTCAGCAAGTGAGAATCTCCCAGGTTTGTCCTCATGCTATGGACAGGAGCGGCGCGCCGCCACTGACTTTTGCCAGGGGGCAAGGAGTTCTCTGGGGCCTCGTGTCCCAACCTTTTTCCAAATATGTTCATGGATCTCGCTCACTTTTTATAAACTGGCACTATCTTAGGCTTATAAACATTCCCTCTGATTTTATGTCATGTTCCTTCCCGGCCCCCTGGACCGCTGATGACGCGATGAAGCATTTTGAAATTCGGATGGGAGGTGGGGAACAAAAAGGCATGCTTGCTCCATCGCCAATTTGGCAATAGGGTGGTTGCTCCTTTGACCATGGTCGTGCTGCCTTTGGTCGTGAACGATTAACGTCTCTCACCTCACAGGCATCACCCGTCCCTCCAACCCTCTCTCCTCCCTCCCCCTCTGTTCAACATCTCTTGGTCGGGGCCCTGCCGCCGTCTAGCTGAAGGTTAGAACGGGCACCGCAACTGGCCAGGTCTCGGGCTAGTTCACCCAATGCGATTAAACTCTGTCATACATGCCGTCGCGCTCGGAGGTCGGTGGGTCGCCGGACCGATCTCACCCAGGCTAGGTTTATGCTCATCCCGCTCCGGCCACCCACCGCGTGCCAACCGCCCCTTGCTACTTGAATTTTCTGTCTCCTTAAAAAACATCGGCAGCCGGCAGTCACGGTGTCGGTCTTCTGGGAGTAGGTCTTCCGGGCGTGGGTACTTCCGGGAGTAGATATTCTGGTAACAGATCTTCCGAACGTGGGTGTGCCAAGCGAAGGTCTTCCGCGCGTGGGTACTCCGGGAGTAGATCTTTTGGTAGCAGATCCTCCGAACGTAGGCTCGTGAGGCGTAGGTCTTCCGTGCGCAGCCGTCAATCTTCCGAGGGTAGGTTTCCCGAGTGTAGATATTCGGGGAGTAGTTCTCTCAGGCGGAAGATCTGCCGAAAGTTGGTTGTTCAACCCTCAGCCGTTGTGTGCTGTTTTGCCTATGCAACTAGGAATCATTCAGCGCGCACGCCGCAGTGCACGAACTATATCAACGAAATAGCCCACCGTGGGCATGATATGAGAGCATACTATTTAGAAAGGATTCAATTATGATTGAAAGCAAACAACATTGGAAAGGTAACTGAACCCCAGCCGCGTTTTCGAAGCGCGGGCGACAAACACATCTACGCAATCTGAGCACATTCGAACATCGTCGAAACAGAGGTTGAACAGACAGAAACAGAAACAAATTGCACGTAACTCGGAGACACCAAGTTTTTAACGAATCTTGTGCTGTATTTTGTCATGGGATTATGAACTGATGCGGCAAAGTCGATCTGTTTCGATTCCATCAAATTTGATACCGCCTTCTTTCAAAAACCTACATCAGCCATAACCAATTGAATTAACAAATACAAGCGGAAGGCATCATGCACAATGCACTCGCATACTTCTCTGTAAAATTAAAACGACACGTGTCATTTTGCTGACTATGGTTACCCACTTATGGAGCAGGATCTAGTCAGTTCTGCAAGCCACCCTGGCGGTACGCATGCTTCATAAGTTAATAGCAGTGAACAGCACGACCTGCTGGGAAGTGCATTTCCAAGTCATGGAGCTCCATGCATGTCAAAGTCACAGCATACATCACTTGCTGATCAGCTGCAATAGAAAGGAACTTGGGAAACCTACATTCTCACTATTCTTGTTCTTATTCACTCCACACTCTTAGACATTCCCACACCCGTAGGTGTTTTAACATGTACGGACATTCTTACATTTTGAGACATTCTTACATTCTGAAATCTTCTTACATTATTGGATTGTCTTACATTTTTAAACATTGTTGCATTCTAAGACATTCTTAGAAAAATTTGAGATGCAATATTTTCAATATTTCTTGAAAGTTGGTGCCCCCGACGGTCATTAACCTCTTGCTTAGGGCATTGGCGCGCGCTAACAGTCGGATGATTCGCACCGTAACGGGGGACTGTGCTGGGTTCGCCCTCACGCACCTCCGACTTTGAACGCTTGTGTCCAGGCTCAGACCATTACGTCAAGCATAAAATAGGAAGTAAGCCCGAGTGCTTGGCAATGGCGACGGCAGAAGAACAACTACCGTACTGTGAAATCAGGGCCAGACATCACGTGACCAACCCAATATGGAGACGGACCGACTGCGGGAGCCGACGCCGGCGGCGGGGCAAGCCTGAAATTAAGTGCGTCGGCAGCCTCACTTTATATCCTGATTGTTTCCGGCTTTATCATTGTGCGTCGAAAAGACAGATGGGCCTGTTTATGATCTGGACGATTTTCATCTGGGTGTGAAAACTGCCGAACGATCGGCAGGAGAAGGTGGTCGGGTCTAAAAAGATGAACTCTGGCGTTCGTGGTGGGATGGAAGGACATGACATGGCTGGTAACACGATTCGTCTCTTCATAGTGGGAGGAAGTGCATCAGCTTATTCCGCCGTGATTGAACGAGCCAATGGTGCAGTGCTCTCCACGCCCGTCAGGAATCAAGCGGTAATGCATGCCGGAACATGAACCTATTAGAGCTATTGTAGCGGATAACTCTCGGTAGCAATGATGTGACCTTTTGCTAATTTCAGTAGAGCTCTGGATGGCCGTTATCAAATCTGCCGTGCGGCATTCTCCACCTATATCATGCCCTGGGGGAGTTTCATTCTCAGGGGGAGGGGATTTAGCCTCTCCTCCAACTTGGGCCCCAGTCCCCTTACTTTGAGAAGAAAGTGGGCCGAATCGGGGGAGAAACCCGTTTGTTGGTATATTTTTGGATAGGTTGGGTCATTTTTCACCGTTCAGCTCACTTCACCCAACTCATTTTGTGAATGCCCAAATTGCCGAACAATGCGATAAGATGTCAGTCGTTCGATCTCTCCACTTGTGGCAAAACCATTCTTTACACCTCTTGACATACAGACACAGTATATATATATATATATATATATATATATATATATATATATATATATATATATATATATATTGTAGCGCACAGCTATAGGAAAATAGCATCTATACTTATGCATATAAGTATATATATACATTTGTTCAAAATCGCTGCGGAAGGCAGCACTGGTGGCCGTTTTTTATGTTTTGTTTTTTTTAAATCAAAATGGCTCCAAAGCTCATGATACAAAGAAGACATAGATTGTCGTATTGCATGGCCTGGTATAACTTATAGTGCTCGAAGTGTCATTCTTCATTAGGCATTTTTAGGGTGACAATTTTAGACACAACTCTTATAATCACGTATTTGTAAAATTCAAGTTCTCGTGATTATTCTAACATTGATCTCATATCTAAATACATCAACCTATATGCTTGCATATATATATATATATATATATATATATATATATATATAATGGATATGCTTAAAATACCAACACCGATTTGAAGGAAAATATCCCAAGACTGCGTGGAGTGAAAGGAGAAACATAAGTCACTCAAACATTCCAAATTTTCCTTGGAGTAAATGCAGTGAAATTCGGTTTCTGCCTAACATAAAGCTGCGATGGCCTTTAAACCAAAACCTGTTAAGATTTAACTTGAAAAAACAATTGTTTTCTAGAATAATGGCAATGCTCGGAAATTACTCACGTTAACACATAGCACATGATAAATGTGAGCAAAAAAACAGACTGTGACGTCCTGCATAACTTGATGTATTCCTAGACCAGTTCAGCTTATGCCCAAAACGGGCAACGTGAATGGCTCATGTCGTCCATGTTTTACATGCCTTTCGCCAAGTGTTGTTTTGTGTCGGAGCATGGAAATAAATCTCACACTGTTCCTCTTAGTAACAGCAGTGGCAGTGTTCACACTTCCTGGATATGACATCGGAGAAAGGAAGCTAAGAAAAGACCATTAAAGATTGTATTGGGTCAAGCCATAACAAGGGGTGAACACTGCGCACAGCCATCACGCTTATGGACATTGAAACTTATCGAAAATACATCATTTCACCACACTTGCCATTTACCATCAAGCGGTTGTCTGAGCGCGAGTGAAGATTCTGCAGCAAGAACTACAACCTAAAACAATTTGTACAAATTTCAGCCGTATTCTTCTCCGAACAGCTGTAGTTTAGGCGAATATTGATCAAACATGTTGACTCGCGGCCAAAGACTATTTTCTCAGATAAGAAGTATTTCGATGTGGGGAAGCATTTTTAATTGAGACCCGACATGGTCTTACCAATTGTACACACGGCTAGTTACTCGAAGAAAACAAATAACGGCTGGTGTTTGTAGAAACGGTCTCAGACTGCAGCTATTCCAATGGCAACTTGGCATCCGCTGATCGGGGGCGGGCAGTGATATATGGGTTTGGTGGTAGATGGAGTCTTTCCGAGAAGAAATAATTCTGGTCTTCCGACGCTGTGTTAGCATCTTTTATTGTACCCCAGTCGCGTGCACTTTTCCAGAAAATCGCGGAAGTTTTTATCCCAGTAGGATCGTGTGCGCGATGCCTTTTGGTTTCATGTGGATTTGTACATGAGCACCAATGCAAAAAAAGACAGCCATTTAAACAACTTTTCACATATCTTTGTTAACATTTAAGAGAAAATCCAAACCGCAAACGTATGGTCTCCTTGGCGTCGCTAGACCTGAGTTTCTGACCGAATTTCGCCCTTGGTCCTTCCCCCCCATGTCATAACCTTGGCATGGAAAGCAGGATGGTTTGATTTTTTCACCAGGTTTGACACGCAGTGTCATTTGGTATTGGGGCGGAAAATATCCAAGGACGTTAATCGCGGTTTCATTGCCCCCCCCCCCCCCCCCACCAAAAAAAAAAACGAATTGTCGAAAGTGTAAATGGCAATACTGGCCCTGGCCCCGGTACTTGGGACACATAGATTTGGACACAAAACTTGGACACTGGATGCACTGGACACACATATTCTTCCAGCATGTGTGGTATTTTGTAGTAAGACTCGCTTATAGTCTCCTTTTTTGTTATTTTGCTACGAGAGGGAATCAGAGAAGGAATGTCAGTTTTTATTATCCAAATATGGCGTGGGGATTTTGACTGGTTTGAATAGCCGAACTAGACGATCCACGTAAATCTTCCTTCAGCGCGTATATTTTTGCAGTAAGACAAGTGTTGTCGCGCACGTCAACCATTCGTTAAATACACATCACGCATTTACCTTGTCACCCGATTGTCTGCACATTGTCGCAAGCCCATTGAGGCAGTGTCAAACTCTGAAACATCGGGAAGATAAAAGTACGAAAGCTCGAGATAAGTAAAATCATGAGAGTGACAGGAAGGTGGAAAGAACGTGCACTGTGGCGGAAGTCTGTACAGCCGTAAGTTTGCTACGCATACGCGTCCGCCCCGACCAGGGGCGGTGCCACTGGGAGACGGGGGGGAGGGGAGGGCACCCCTCTAGCGTTGAATAGGCAGATCAGTCCCCATATTCTATCAGTCTTCTTGCAGGACAAAATACATTGCTCATAGGTCTTCACGCAGGGCCCATATCCCTAACTTTTACCATAATGAAGTTAACCTCACATCGGAAGGGCTGCACTGTCACCAAGCTAGTGCGATTTTCTAGGACCTCCAACAGACCGCCCGGCGATATTCTCCTATACTGGCCGAGCACAGTCAATGTCTACAAAAAGCCGGTATCAAGCACATGCTCTCTCATTCCTTTTCTGTTAATGCAAATGCTGGGTGGTGGTTTTGCAACCTCGTCCCCCCACCCCTACCAAAAATTAGTGGCGCCACACCCCCGGCCCCCAACCAAGGGCGGCACGTCCCAGGCGCGTCTAGCTCTTCACAACGCAGGTCCATCATCACTCATACGCATGCCTTGTGCCAGGGTCGGGCGTTCGTGCGCTATCGGTATGCAACAGAAGTAAGTTGTCAAACAAGCTCTGGCCGCGAAACGCAGCATTGAGGAGTTATGCAAACAATACACGGTCCATAGACGCCAGCTCGCTCCGGGACCTAAGGCCGAGATGGTGTTTGTGTAAGCGAGGAGACAGGTGGCTAAGCATGACCCGTATTCGCCGTCGATCAATCGGTCTTGATGTTGAACGGGTCCAGAGCAACCCACTCACATCAGTCCCTTCTTCACTACTTCTGTCCTCGTGGCACCTGAAATATTAGCTTCTTGGGGGAGAATCAAAGGTTTCAGCGGTTTCATCCACCCGGTACAATGACGTCGAATAGTGACAACTCCGAAGACCGCGTGATTCTTCAGCAGACGCTTCCGTTTCTTTGGCCGTGTGTCTGAAACAGAGCGTTCCTTTTCTGAAGGTACGTGAGTAATGTTATGTTGTAGCATGCACGGGTAAGGGATAGCAAAGCTAATTGCCGTGCCGTTGTCATCGTACCTCTACATACATTTCAACTGACTGAAATGTCCAATCTTAGTAAAACATAAATAAGCAGCCATCTAATCACGTTGAGCATTTCGACCATGGACAACGGGGCAACGGGGCTCGACTAGCACAAATTTTACGAAGCACCACCACCCCGCCTGTGACCGTTGTGGGCGCCGTAACGACAGAGGCTCAGTCCTGCACAGGCGCAAAGCAGCCCTCCTCACCCAAGAGCAGTCGAGCTCCTCGACGAACGTGCCGACCCTGCGCCGACGCGCAGCCGCTTCGGCCGTAACTGGCCACGAGCCGAACACGCCCTGCCGCTCCAGCAGCGCCACCTGGGCGTTGAAGGTTTCTGGGCCGGCCGCCAGGCGGCGAGCGAGCGTCTGCAGCTGGCGCTCCGTGCGGCTCAGCATCCAGCGGATAAACGGTCCCAGGCGGAACGTCACGTAGTCTCGCAGCTGGCGGCAGAGACGGGAGCTGTTGACGTTGCTGCTGCCGCCCCAGATGATGAGGCCGGCCGGCTGGCGCGTCACCACCTGGCCTATGGTGGCCAGCAGGTCTCCGGGCGAGAGGTAGTCGTTGACGACCTCGTGGTAACCGAACCAGGTGTAAGGGTAGACGGGGCGGCCACCTGCCTTGGTTGCCAAACGGTCCGTCTCCTCCAGGATCACCCGGGTCTGGCGAGGGAAGAGAAAACTGGCGTTGATATCCATCGGAAATAAGCTGTTTGGTTATGCTGCATTGCTTGTTTTTGTTCAACTTGAATTGGCCCGCACGCTGTTAAGGATTCTTTTATTTTCCTTCATTTTTGAAATAATAGCTACGTTTTATGAGCTGTTTTGTGCCGATTGCCTGCCTACTTGATGCCAAAATAATATTTACCAAACAATGTGATGTCTCTACGTAATGTCAAATGTGTAGTGTGAATAATAAATATATTCAGCATATGAAACAACATCCAAATGCCACTGCGGTGAGCCTTTCGCCATGTCTAAGCACAACAGAGATACTTTGGCAGGAGACATAGGAAAGGTAAGCTGACACGAGTGCTTCTGGTTTTTCATGGCATGTAGCATTCCCACCTGCACGTTTTTGTCCCATGATGTATAGTTGTGCTTCAGGAGATAGACGGATGGGTACAGCGCCACCGAGTTGTTATAGATCCACTGTGATCTGCGGAAGGCCACATGAATATGGTGTAATGTTTACCACTTACTTGACCTAATGATCAAGTGATTTCAAAACTGGTGGTGCTTAAATCAGGCGTGGCACCAACCAAAGCAGAGAAGGGAAGAACCAAAGTGCTTAAGATATTCAATTCTATCTGAATTTTGCGCAGTCAGATGTCTCTAAAGCATAGCCTCGCAACGGTGCATTCTATCATTCACAGCCCATCCACCCGCAACAGCACTCATCAGAGAAGCACATGAGGTCCAGAGCGATCACGCTAACTAACGAACAACACGCAAGCTGCAAAACGGGGCAGGATCTGCCTACCGGCGTACAGAGCAGCACCAACGTACCTGTCATTGTCCGCGCTGATGGCCGGAGCGCAGTAGTCGACGTGCGGTTGGTAATTCTTGCAGTAGGGGTAGTGGTAGTACCCCCAGAGGGCGTCCGGACGCAGCTCGCGCGCCACCTGCAGGGTCCGCTCCAGGAACGGCCGGCTGGCGCGCTCGAATAGCGCCTCCGCCTGGTGGCCGGAGCGGGAACTAGTTAGCGAAGACGGGAGATCCCGGCAGCGGTGCTGGCATCTTCCGGCCTGCTATAACAACGAATAGGGACAACGGTGCGGGAGCCATCGTGTTATGGGGGGGGGATTGGGGACTGGACCTAACATGTGAGGCAAATAGCGCCGAGCCTAAGACGATTTGTGGAAAAAAATTTAACCCAGTGCAAGTTCTTAAGCTACCAGATGGGGAACGTTTACTTCCGTCGCGGGACATGCTGTTAGTGCTAAGACAGCAGAGGTAAGGCGCCAATGTTCTATGAAGTATAGCTGCATCGACTGTGGATGAACTTGCAGACATTCTTCACGGCGGCTGTGCTTAAGGGAACATGCTATCTTTTTGTACTTTTGACGCATTGTTTAACCAGACGCGTACCAAAATATTTCAGACTTTGATCAGATACACCAGATTTCTCGAAATGCTTCTGAATAGCTCTGGTCTCGATTTGAAGCAGCCGCCCCCGCCCCCCCCCCCCCGGATCTCATTGGACTCCCTCATCTCCACTATAAAAGTGATACATTCAATTGCCATGCTTTTCCAGCGTGTGTTTTGTAAGCTTTGCGATGGACAAATTTGTCAAAATGTTTGTGTAATAAATGCTACGAAAGCTTGAAACGCTTCAGCCAAAAATCTATGCGAACTTGAGAATTCGCAAATGCGCGAATTCCCGCGAATTCAACGAAACGTTGTACTATGGTTTTTATTTCTTCGCAATAGCATTTACCACGGTGGCTATTTTCGAGACGCACTTTGGGCCTTAGGAGTAAGAGTATCGCGTGGTCCAAAGTGACACGCTGGTTAAAACCCCGACCAATGTGCTTCTCGGTAACATGCACTTAACGCCCGCTGGGCCAATCACAAACGTTCTTTTATTCTCAGCAGCAGAGCTGCCACAGCGGCAGCGATCGTGCCAACCGCGGGGGAGACGTGTGGCGTTGTTACAGAGCGCTGACAACGTAACTTGGAGTAAAACATGATTAAGATTATATTCTTATTTGCCTTGATAGCGCTGCATTAACAGTACCTACCGCCTTTTTTAGACCAACTTACCCTAAGGTTTCATTGGAGTATGTTTTGAAATGTGTCGGAAGGGTGGCATTTAATGACATGCGGTGCGTAAGCTAATCCAAACAATGGGGCTGAGCTTCCTACATCGGCTCGTCGGTGTCGCCACTCTTATGCGAGGTTATGCGAATGGTAGGATGAATGCAGTGCGCATGTGGATACAGCACCGCGCAGGGGTGCATACTGCCATTCTGAATCTGCACGGCACAGTGTGGCCGGTTCCAGACCCTAGGGTAGACAACAGCAAACACCGTATTCAACCAGCTTCACATTCAAAGTGCAGAAACTATAATCTTAAAGTTTGGTGGAAGGGGTCTGAACAAAGGGATTGAGAGGCTGCAACTACAAATTCTCCTACAAAGTACGCCCCTGGCAGCGAGTGAAGTGACCAGGAATCTGAACCAAAACGAAATGTCGGCGCTGAACACCGCTCGTCTGGCAGTACCGTAACGTTGTCGAGGTGTGGTATGGCGCCCAGCTTGGTTTGCAGGCGATGATACTCCTTGGACATCTTCCTGTACTTGAGAACTCCGCTGCTTCTCAGCGTCGTCTGCCACTCCTCAAAGTCGATCACAGCCGGTCCTGGAGATGACCCCAGAGTCTTTCAGCGACGTCAGTGCGGCGAGAGTGGATCAATGACGTCACTTAAGCAGGTGTGCATCAGTGACACAGGATTTTCAGCCTATTAGGAGAAACCCTGTGACGGAACTTGTGTATCTGGCCCATTTTAATGACGAC